AACTGCCAAATGTTTTCCACAGAAGTTACACCATTTCACATCCCCACCAGCAATGTGTGAGGGCTCCAATTTCTCCACAACCTCAGGAGCTTGCTATTGTCTTCCTGATTATAAAACCCTAGTAGATGGGAAGTGGCATTGCCTTATGGTTTTGATCAGCACTTCCCTCATGACTGATGCTGCCGAGCTCCTCTTCATGCGCTTGGTCATCTGTCTCCTTTGGTGAAAAATCTTCAGATCCTTTGCCTATTTTTAAATTGGATTATCTTTTTATTGTCAAGTTGTGAGCGTTCTTTATATATTCCGGATATGTCTTCTTAGGTGCATGATTTGCAAATATTTTCTCCCATTCTGTGGGAGTCTTTTACTTTCCTGTATCCTTCCAAATCAAGTTTTTAATTTTTTTAAAAATATTTATTTATTTATTTATTTATTCATTCATTCATTTATTTATTTATACAAGCAGTGGGTACAGTCAGAAGTGCGGGAGGGTGAGAGAATTCACCAGAGCCAGAGCAGGGAGCAGAGCAGGCAGAAGGACCAAAGTACACTGCTGAGGGGAGCAGTGGGCGGCAGGAGAGTTCTGCGCACCATGTGGGACCCTCCTCCAGTGGCCGGGGAGCAGCCGGGGATCGAACCGGCGCTGCAGAGGCTGCGGGCAGCTTCGCAACCCAGCGCTCAACCGCTGCGCCACCGGGGAGGCCCGCAAGTTTTTAATTTTGATGAGCATTTTCCTTTTTTTTCTTGTGCTTAGTGCCCTATCTAAGGTTTTACTTAAACTAAGGTCTTAAAGGTATACTTTTGTTTTCTAAGGGTTTTGTAGCGTTAGCTCTTACATTTAGGTCTATGATTCGTTTTGAGTTGCTTTTTGTAAACGGTGAAAAGAAGGGCTCCAACTGCCTATTTTTTGCTTGTGGATATGCTTTGCATCATTTATTGAAAAGAGAAACCACTTTATTTTTAAGTACATAATTATAATTACAGTCATCTGGTTCCCAGTTAGACTGTAAGTACCCAGAGTATACAGTGATAACTCGCTCACAACGCTGCAGCTCCTCCAGCACTCAATGCCTAGGAGCACTCCTTATGTGCTAAGAAGTACTCACAAATATGGAGTGAATGAAGTAATGATTTTATTAATATTAACTCCACAACTCTATGAATGCAGGTATTCCCTGCATGTTACTTAGGCTCAAAGAAGTTAGGCAAGATGTGCCTTATTTTGTTGGTTCTCAATTTTCTTACTCATATGCCCCCAATCACTGTGCCAAGCTTAGGACCCAGCATATACACATGCTCAGCAAATTTCTGTCAAATAAACAGATGACTCCTAGAGAGAAATGGCAGTCTGAAGTCCAAGATTTATACCATCAGGCCTCCTTCACTAGAGAATGTTTGGGCTGATGAACGAGTCCAGCACTCAGCAGAGGCCCCTCTTCCTGGGAGAAGAGAAGTGGGCAGGGGTATTGTCTTTCACCCATTTGTTCTGAAGGAAATGTGATCTCCACTGGGAGAACAGAAGCCTTGCTTCTGCCAGCCTTGACAGCTACTTGCAGGGCTCAGCGTGAGACCAGACAGATGTGCCTCAGTCTGCCCTGTGCCCTGAGTTTCGGGTGAGTGGCTCTGGAGGCCAGAAGTCAGGCTTGGATTTGGGCAGAGTCTGGGAGCAGTCACCAGCTCATAATGCTGACAGGAGGGACAGGGCCCCAGGACCAAGCTTTGACTCCTGAAGAGCCAGTACTGAACATACTAACAAGGTTTACGTGTCTTGGGGGAGAAGGAAGAATTGGTTGCTACACAGAAAATAAGACCAGGAAAGGAAGGGACTCAGCCTGTCTGATATAGCCAAGTAAAATATGGAAGTAAGACTCTGGTTAGCTGAGAAGTTGTAATTTTCCCCAAGCTGCATTGTACTGGAGAACAGGGTAAGAGATGAGCAGAAGAACCAGACCTTGTCCCTGTCCTGGGGAGGTACACAATGTAGAGGTTTAAGTGAAGTCCGGCCTAGAACCTTCTTGGTATAAAGAACAGAGTAGGTAGGGGGAATGGCAGATCCAGTCCTGCCCCTTTAGCCAGGCAGGCCTGTAGCCCCATACAAAGCAGGTCAACAGTGCCCACATGTTAGGGTGCTGTCCAGAGCTGCTGCTTTGACATTTGTGAGGATTCCTGATCTGCTCCTGATCCAGTCAGCATGTGAACCTCCTGGTTTTCCCGTTCATGGACTGAGTGCCTCTTCTTACTGCTGAGGCTTAGCCCTGGTTCTCTCATCTGACCCCCAAACTTCTCTTCTAGAAAAGAATTCCTTCTGCCACAGGCTGGCATGCCCCTTCCTTGATGACCTTCCAACCCTCCCAGACGGGGGAAGGGGAGGAAGGAAGGGGAGTTCACACTGGCAAGGAGGTGTCAAGGAAGGCTTTCCAAGGGATGCAGCACTTGAGCTGAAGCTAGATGGCTGTGAGATAAGGCAAGGGTGAAGAGAGAGACATGGGTAGTCTGTGTGGAGAGCCTGCCCTGGGACCCAGGACAGCAGGTTCCAGAGTGACCTTAGAGAGGTCGAAGCACCTGCTCTATGAGCAGAAGAGCCTCAAGCTGCTGCCCTTCACTCTCCAGAGCTCCCCCAAGGCTCTGGGATTGGGGAGGGGAAGAGATGGAGCAGACACACACCAGAGCCCCACAGAGGGAAAGCGGGGGAGAAGGGGAGGACAGTATTATTCACCAGGTCTGAGCTTTATTCCAAACACTGATGTTGCTGACCACGCTGATCATACACATGGACACCCAAACTATTGTTGTTTTTCAAATTGAGAATGGGACTTACTCCACTATAAGCAGGTCAGTTACCAGCCTCCCCACCAAATCACCCCTCCTGCCCCCATCTCCACTGCCCAGCAGAGCCCACTCATTCATTCGTAAAAATGTTTCATGTGAAGAAGGAAGGATGTCTTAAGTGAGGCGTGCATCCTCTTTGCCATACTGAAACAGACCTAACAAATCGGCCTTTCCCCAGTTCAGTTCATCCTTCACCCTTCTGAATGACCCTAACTGGGTGATTCCCTTGCTTACAAACTCCCCATGTCTCCACTCACAAAAATTCAAACTCTCTTACCATGATTCCCAGACTTGCACTTTCTAGCTTCTTTCAAATTCCCTTCTTTCCCCAAACGTTGCAACCCTGCACAAATACCAACTCAGTGGCATTCACATGTTCACTGGACCCTGCTGCCAGCCAGCCAACCAGGGTCTCCTGGCCCATCTCTGCTCATCTTGTTCCCAGTTCTTTGCCTCTAGGGGCGGGTGGGAGAGAGAGACTATCATGCTGAAGAACAAGGTCTGTGCTGGCCTCACTCGAGATTCTGACTGAGTCATCATGACCAAGGGAGATGGGACAAGAAAAGAAAGGAGAAAAGTAGGTTAGCAACTTGGGACACACGAGCCCCTACAGGCCCTATCCACACAGGCAAGCATGCAAGTCACACGTGTCCCATAAGTTCATTTACTTTCTGTATTCCTTGGGCAGGTGTTTAGATGCTATTAGAAAAACATGTATTTTAAAGAGCTAAAATAATCACATTTGGGGGCTCAGTGGGCTAGGGTAAGCTCAGTCTCCTCTGGGTGCTGGGAAGGTGGATTCACAGCCTTCCTGCTCAGTTGGTGCGCTGCCTCCACTGTGCTGCCAGAGAGGAAGGCTGGCCACCTAACAGTTACCAATAGGAGAGTCCAGGGTCAGCAGAGGCCTGAAAGGAGTGGGGCCCAGCCAGTTCCCGCCCCCTTGCTCCCTTACACTGCAACAGAAAAGAGGCTCATCTGTTTCTGGGGGAATGAAGATGCCACACACAGCCTGCAGTTATGAATGGCTCTTATAACAACAAGCTGACATCTGTGCTTGATTTTTAAGATGCATCATCGCATGTTTATTAAACTATTGCTCCATCATATTTATTTGGCTACGAAACAACTCCCAGCCCATACTTCCAAAAGTGGTTTATTAAAAACTAAGCCTTGAACATTAATACTCAAAAGCACCCTTGAGAATCAATAATAATGCTGCAGATAGAATGAAAGGGAATCAAAGCAGTAAGTCTTGGTGGGGGCTGTGGTTGCCTTGCAACACTTTCTTACATTTCAGGCAGCTGGAGAGAGGAAGAGCTCCAAGGATGTGTGGCACTGGGTGCAGGAATAGTTACCTCAATACCTGACTTCCTGTCTAAAATATGGAGGCAGTGACAGGAAAGCAAGGGGGGAGGGGGGGTGGCCTATGGCCACCTAGCTCCACACAAAGGGATAAGAAAGCTAAGATTAGACCCAGTGGAGCACACTAGTTTCACCAAGGATAAAACCTCTCTCACTAGACAACAGCCCCGTGCTGGTGTTCTATGCTGGTCCCATCCACCCTGGATATGGTCTCTGCCCTGCCCCTGGCACCAGGCTGAACCCAAGCTGAGTCCTGCCCCCATCCTATTAGAACAAACCTCAAATCCAACATGCCAGTAGGAAGCTGGAGGAATGTGTCCAGCTCTGGGCAGGGACCCAGCAGGCGCACTGCAGCCCTGCAGGCAGGCCTTCCTAGTGCCCGAAGAGCCAGCAGCAAAGGTTTATTCTAGCTCCCTCCCAAATCCATAAGTCTTGCCACAGAGGCCCGCCTGTACCCCATTCAGGCAATAAGTAATAACACAAGGCCAGTTCCACAGAGAAACAAGAACAAATTGTTAAGATTCAATGAAGAACCCACAAGATGTGGAGGGGACTCCCATAGGATATGTTCATGCCTTGGGAAGAACAAAAGAGCAGAAAGACCCAGGTTTGGGGTCAAAAAAAGAGGAGACATGGGGGCTGACTCTCTACCTTGAGATATCTACAGGTTGACATGAGCACAGGAAGCCCAGGTGACTCTGTGACTAAAGTCACAGGATTCAGTTTCCAGCTTCGTGAGGATTTCCTCCAAGGCAGCCATCACCAGAGGAAGGGGTTCACCCCGCTCAGCCCCTCCTGAGTCCACTCACCTTCTGACTTCTTGGACATTGTTGGCGCGAGCAGCTTCCATCAGGGCTGCATCTAAAGAGAGAGGGGGCACTGGTCAGATCCCTGGCCAGGACCTATCCCTCAGGGTTACTTGGAGGGCAGTAAGACAGAAGTGGAAATGCTTCAGAAACACATCTTTAACAAGGGAAACAATGGCAGGATACTCAAAGAGAAAGCTATTTATCCCCTGCCCACATGGCATCCACTGTTAACAACTTGCCTTCCACATCTTTCTATTATAGAGCCCAAACTCTCAACTCCTTTCATACAGGTGAGCCAGGAAAAGCACTATCATCACGTGACGTGTGCCTGTGGTAAAAGTTCAATGTGTGAATTCCTTCACTCTTCATCAGCTATAAAGCTCTGCATGATGTTTTATGTGACCATTGCTGGTGTCATTAACCCTTCCCAGTTGGTGTCGTTCCCTCACCTGACCCTACTTTCTCCCCCACTCTGGTTTCTCTGTCCAGCTTTGACTCTTGATGTCACAGGTTATACTCAGTGGAAGGGGCATGTTGTGGAGCAGCGGGCAGGGGTGTGGGCCCCTCTGAAAGTGGAGGGAATCTCAACTAGGTGTCAGGAGACCTAGCTCCAACACACTCTGCCACCTATTCACCCCAGCTTCCTTACTATAAAGCAGAGGCAATAATCTCTGCCTGGCCTGCTTCAAAAGGAAGCTGAGGAGAAGAAATGGTGGTTAAAAATCTGCAAACTCTCCAGTGCCATGGCCAGCAAAGGAAGACCCAAAGCTGAGTTCAGATCCCTTATGAATCACCAGGCCCAGGAGAAAAGCAGTGCTAACCTGGCCTGCCCAGGCAGCTTGCAGGCTGTTGACACCACCTTGTGGCCACAAAGAAAAACTGCAAGACACAGAAAAACAAAACAAAACAAAACAAAAAAAAAAAAGTCAGCAGAGAATTTTTTTCACACAGTGCAATACCAAGTGCCCAGGGAGCTCTTTGTGACTAGTTTGGTTCTGAGCAATATTGTTGGGCCTTGGGAAGATTTATACCCAGTGCTGCCTTGGGATGGGCACTGCACAGACTCAGACCCAGCTCAGTCCAGCCCAGAGACAGCCAGTGAAACATGAGGGGTGGCACTGGAGCAGGGTGAGACAGACCTGGGCTCCAGTCCCAACTCTGCCACTTACTTGCTGTATTACTTGCTAACCTCCAGAGCCTCAGTTTCCTTATATGCAAGATAGGGATAAGATGCCTATGCAAAACAGTTCTGTGGTTCCAACATCAGTGCCTTCACCCTAACTCCCGCCTGGACTCCCTGGAGGGCCAAGTCTTTTTGGTTATCTTCCCTGGTCTCTAAGTACATACCCAGTCATGCTCAGGCAGCTTCCAGCTAGAAGGGGAAGAAACCTTCCTCAGAGATCACTGTATGCACTCTCCCCTCGCTCTACTACAAAATCACCAAGGGAGTAAAGAATGAGCTGAGGTTAGAACCAGGTTCTGCAGATTCTGAAAGGGCAATTTCAGCCACAAGGCACTGCGGGGCTTGCTCCCAACTCCATGTAAAGAGACAAGGATAACTAATAAGTCAGAAGGGCTGGAACTGATCATGCTTTTTGGTCACTGTCTTCTTGCTGGAATTCACATCACAAAGTCCAGTCTGGAGGTTCCAAGAACCTCTAAGGCAAAATTTTAGATACCTCCCCCCAATCCATCTAAACATACTGGCCTCAGGACATTCCTTGCTCATGAACTTTCCATGGCTTTCCTCTCCCTACAGGAGAAATTTCAAAAATTTTAAATCTTCCTGCCTGATATCCAGGCTCCAACCCTATTTGGTCTCACCTCAATCCAAAACCCCCGCTCTCCGACCAAGCTGGCCACTCTGTGAGCCTTTGCATACACCATGCTGACCTATAACTCATATTTTCATTCTCTCTGCATACAAGCCTCTGCATAGAATACAGTCCAATTCAAGACACCTTTACTGAATACCTGTCAGGTTCCAGGCACTACGATGGGCAAAGGATTTCAAGATATTTGGAAAAGGAGCTGGTTTCATGCTGAAAAGAGATACAATGCATTCCTATTCTCAATGAACTCAAATGATCACTCTCCTTTTCATATTTTGTTTCATCCTTCAGAACTTGAATTCAAATTTCCCATCCTCTAGAGGCTTTCAATCTTCCTGGAAAGTTTTCCTAACCCTATTGGTCCTAGGGTCCCCCAACAACACACAGTCAGAATTCTCACTGGATCACAGGCCTAACGCCTGCACTGTCCCCTTAACGGATTTCATGATTTGTTAGGAATTCGCTGCCTAGCACATGGAGGGTATTCCAAAAAATGCTGAAAGTTATGGAATGGCATGCCCAAGCTTGAAGAGCCTTTTAGAGTCTCTATCTCGACATTCTCATTGTGACAAAGAAATATGGTCACTGAGCAGGAGCAAGGGTCCAAAGTCACCATGGGAGTTAGGGTAGAACAGAAACAAGATCCCAGGGGTTCTAACTCCCAAACCAAGGCCCTTCCTTTATAGCTGACCACATCCTGTTGAATAAACAAATCAATGTCAAGGCAGTACCCGCTCCTGCTTCAAATCCCAGAGCTGAAGATGCACAGAATCTACAAACAACATGTCTTGGTCTTCCCCCTTGAGTAATAACTGAGTGGTTAGGCTCAGGTCAGAAGTCTAGCTTTCTGCCCACTCTCCCTGTCTCTGCTCAACTGCATGCACTCAGATGCCCATCTGGGTCAGACAGTCCCTATGGCTGCTATGGGTCTCTAAAGGCCCAACTTCTTTGTCTTCCTTATCCTCCAACTGCCCCATATGGTAAGGTCATCTCACATTGGAGACCAGGCATAGTAAAACCCTGGGAGATAGGGAGACCCAGGCCTCTGAACTCCAAGTGGAGTCAAAAATAACAGAACTGTAAGAGTAACTATAAGAGAAGTTACCCTTCACCGTGTAAGTAGGGAAACTGAAGCCAGAAAGGAGGTGGTGAGAAATGGCAAAGTTTACATTGAAACCAAGTCTCTTTCCTTTTTCAGGACACCTGAGGAGGGGAGAGGGGGAAACCTTCTCTAAACCATCTAGTGGTTTTCTTAACACATGCTGTGGTTTCCTAGAGACTTCTTAAAAGAGGAACTGGATCAGGCAGAATATTAGAGCATAAAAGGACCATGCTTTAATTTTAAAGGATTAGCCCAATGCTCTCGTTGTACATATGGAGGAAGGGAAGTTTACCTCTTAAGGGAAATAATACAACTCAGAGGCACTGCGCTCTCCCCTGAAACAACCGGCCTCTGAGACCACGTGATATCTGGGTCCCTCAGAGGACCTCTGATGGTCTCATCTATAAGCAACCGTCACCCTCCAAAGATTAAGATTCAGAACTCTCCCCCCCACCTCTCCCAACCTTGAACCCATATTGTCCCAATAATCACCCTTGTTGGACGGGCTCTTGCTGAAACAGTGAACCACCAGCGCCATGGCCAGGGCCCACATGCCTACTCCGGCCCTGTTGGGGACCCCGTTCCAGCAGTCATGTCGAAGGGGTGTTTCTTCAGGGCTAGGAAGATGTCCCCACGTGGAGGCTGCTAGGCACGGGGTTTCGGTGCGTCCTCCCAGGTGGCCCTCGGTGGCTGCCCCTCCTCCGATGAGCAAGGTGGACGAAGTTCCAGGGCACCCCTCGACGGCCGCCCTCAGCCACTGCGGCTCCCCGCGGCCGCCGGTGGTCACACTCCGGCCAGAGGCACCTCCGTGGCTCCGGAGCGATGGGGACCTAAGCAGCTGGAGGAGGAATCGCGGCGCCGGCGCTGTTCTTCTCAGCACCAGGGACCCCAGCATCGTGACAGCTGATTACCCCCTGGTGCCGGCCCCTGTGGCGGCCACGTCCAACATGGCTGCCGCGGCGCGTTCGAAGACGCCGCGGGGGTGGATGACGCAGCACCTCAAGGGAGTGGTAGTCCACCAGCCGGAGATCTTCCTGCAACAGGAGAACAGATAAACTACATTCCCAGAATGCTGTGGAACTACGTCACAAGGACTGCCGCTTTACGGGAGCCCGGGGCATGTTGGGAAATGGAGTTCGGGCGGGGAGGCGTGGCAAGGTGGAAAACGCCAAGGTGAGGCGTGGCGATCGGAGGAAAGGTTCTAATCCCAGAGCTTCTTTTCAAATTTAGTTAAAATGAGCGACGCAACTTCTGAATCGTGTAAATTAAACAGGGACCTTTGGCATATACCAGTAATGGACCTTGGTTATTTCTTTTACCCTAATTTTCAGCTTGGGACAGAGATGACTAGGGTAACCAGTGCTCCTGAAATAAGAATTCCTATTCATTTCCCACACAGACGTCCCTTCAATGAAAAAGCTGACTTCTGGTCTTACTTTATCACTTGTGTTAGTTTCAAAAGGGTCTCTCACACGAGTTATCTTATCCCATGATATCTGGGCAATAGCTATTAGTTTCTATAGGGAGGAGGGTGATGTTAGAAACTGAATAAATAAATAAAGCTCAAGTCTTCTGACAGAACTCATTTGCTCCATTAATACCTATACTTGCACCTCGTCTCCCCTTTCCCAGACTAAATCCATGGTAAGCACCATACACTCCATTTTCTTTCACTTTTATATCACTGTTATCTAGAAATATATCTGAACAAAAAGAGGAAGATAACAAATATTTATTTGGTGAATAGCTAACTTTCACCTTGTAAGTGACAGGGGGATGAATGTGAGCTCTAGAGTACAGGCAGACCTGGATTTCAATTTGACTCTTGTATTTACTACATGTGTGACCTTGGACAAACTCCTTTTCCTCTCTGTTATTTCCTTTATTATTGTCAAAGATGGTGCTATCTATCTTCAAGACCATTACTTGTGCTAAATGAGATAATGTGTATACTAGCTCCATCCCAGGCTCACAGCGGTCTTCAAGAAATAGCAGCTCCAGGAGTGGATTTGATTCCCTACTCTGAAAATTCTTGAGTTCGGGAAATATCAAAATATGGGAATCTAAAATATGGTAGGCTAACCCTTGAAAGCTGAGAGTAGAACTGGGACATCCAGAGAGGGAGGGGAAGGGAAGGAGGAGGGATGAGATAGGATGGGAAGAAAGCAAAATGGACTATGGAGGAGGATGACAGGTGCTTCCATGGTGGGAGCGCTATGGTGACTACACCTGAAGGGGGAAATCCTGTACTTCCAAAACACTAATAAGGATGTAAACCAATGATACAGAGAGAGAGAAGAGAGGAAGGGGGAGAGAGAGAGAGAGAGAGAGAGAGAGAGAGACAGAGAAGAGGAGAAGAGAAGAGAAGAGAAGAGAAGAGAAGAGAAGAGAAGAGAAGAGAAGAGAAGAGAGAAGAGAGATAAAATATGATATACAAGCACACGTACAAAATGAGAAGTGTTTTGGGATATTTGTAATAGCAAGAAATTGGAAGCAGCCTAAATATTCATCAATAGGATAATTATTAAATAAATACATTTGGATACAGCGAAATAGAATATTGTCTTTAATATTATTTTAAAATCTCTTTTCGTATGGGACACTGCGGTATTTTAAGAAGGAAAAAAGGCACAGAACACAAATTGTATACAACCATTACTATCCTTTGAGAAAATATACATCTATTTATATGGTTATACACTTAGGATGTTTCTGAAAGGATGGTACAAATAGTGGCCCTTGGAGGGGACATAAAAGGAGAGAAGTAGGGAGGGAGGGTTTACTTTCCTTTGTAAACACTTTTGGATTTTGTAAATGCATATACTGGCAATACATATATGGCATATTCAGTTAAATCAACCAATCTGTATTATTTCTATACCAATAAGTCACTTTAACCTCTGGCATCAGATGGTGGGATTGATTTTCAGAGGATTGCATTTTTCCCTCTCAGATGAAAATACTGACATCTTGTGGCATTTCAAGGTAATGCTGCTAGATAGCATTAAAATCAGAATTTTCACCAGTCTATTCCCAGGAGTTAGACCTTGACAGTCAGATAGGAACAGGGTTCTGGGTAGGTGCAATAGGAGGGAAACACCAGAGCAACACATAAGGCATAAGGGAGGACAGACTTGAAGCATAGTATCACAAGCATATTAGGATGAGAAAGTCCCAAACCACCAATTAAGAAACTGCATGACCAACACCACCAAAACCTGAACACTGTTATAAAAACCCTGATGTGGGGCCTCCCTGGTGGTGCAAGGGGTTAAGCACAGCACTGTGAAGCTATCTGCAACCTCTGCAGCACGAGTTCAATCCCTGGCCAGCCAGGGAGCAACCCACATGGCGCAGCAGACCTCTCCTGTCTCGCCTGCTGCTCCCCTCAGCAGTGTATTTCAGTCAGTCTGTCTGTTCTGTTTCCCACTCTGTCTCTGGTGAATCCTCTCACCCCTCCCCACACCTCTGGCCTGTACCCCAGCTCTTGATGCATAAATAAATAAATCTTTAAAATTAATGGCAATCCTTTTCCAGGATCCCTCTCTTGCAGGAGCTGTTCTGATTCTTATCTGTCCTTGTATAAATCTCAGACCTGGTCAATGCTGGCAGGAGCTGGCCTATTTCTTTAATGAAACTGTTTAGTGGTTTGGGGGTTCATTCTTTGTTCACCCTTCTTAACAAATATTTCCTGAATGCCTGTTACATGCTCACCCTGTGCATTTGTCCAACCCTTTAAAGCTTACAGGGTTTCAATAATATTCAGCCTCATTTATTGAGCAGCTGTGAGCCACAGATACTGAAACCATAGTCAGGAAGAAGGCAGAGCTCTGGGGAGCCTACTTCCACAGGGAGTATCAGCACTATGGAGTGCTCTTTCTCTTGGAACCTATAGCAGGCTGAGTGGTCAGGGAAGGTTTCCTAAAGAAAGTGTTGTCTGAGCTGAGCTCTGCAGAAAGAAGCAAAATTGGCCAGATGAAAGGGGATGGTAGCTGATGTGGGCTGGGGCACTTGGAGCATTGCTCACTGTAAAGGGAACACAGTGTAGAAATTCTTGGAGCTATACTTTTCTTTTTTTTCTTGCAAAGCATGTTTTAGGAAAGGGTTTCAGGAATGGTGTGTTCACTGTGGCTGAGGTGTAGAGTCGGAGGGGCTGCAAAATGAGAAATAATGCTTAACCAGAGTTCAGTGCAAGTGCACAGTGCAACAAGAATTTCAATCAAGAACTGACTTCTCACCATGAAGATTTTGCTCTGTGAGCTTTTCTTGGGCCCTGAGTTAATGCTCTGCTTCTCCCAGCCAACTCAATGTGCCCTCTCCCTCCCTCCCTCCCTCCCTCCCTCCCTCCCTCCTTCTTTCCCTCTCTCCCTCCCTCCTTTTCTCTTTTCCCTTCTTTCCTCTCCTTCATTGGATTTCTTCCTTCAGAAGAGCTTGTTTTCTGTAGCCTTGGTGCTAGGGAGGAAGGGCAAGGCTTTTTGGGTCACAGGGTGATAACTCGGGTCTCAGAGGAACTAGTCATGTTGACGGATGAGGCTTACAGTTGAGACTGAAGCCCACATGAAAGCCTCTCTCCACTCCCCAGCTAAGTGGAGCCAGGGTGGTGCCCAGCATGCAGCCGGGTGAGCCCTGGCATTAAAGCTGTGAGATGGGCCTCTGTCTGTGCAAGACAGATGTTGCTGTGAGCAAGGCTCTCTTTTTAGTGTTTATGGTGTGTTATCTTGTTTAACACCAACAGCAATCCCAGGAGGAAGATACAATATCCATCTTACAGATAAGAACAGCAAAATATAGAAAGGTCATTAGAACAGTACCAACCAGCTAGTAAATGGCAAAATTGGGCTCTGCTGGTCTGAGCCCAAAGCCAAGACTGTTAATCCCAGCTCACAGGGAAAAAAATGGGGTATGAGGGTGCGTTCTCTCAAATAACTGAACCAAAGGCACAGCAAACGAAAGTCAGGAGGGAGAACTTCCAGCGGGAAGGAATTCCCAGGTGCTGTACTACATGGCTAGTGGTAGCCCCTCTCCAAGTTCCAAGAGGCTCTGGCCTCACTAACTGGGCAGGCACAATACAAGCCTCCTTTCCCTTTCATTATCTGAGATATTTTATAATTTGCAAACATAACTACTAGAATATTGATAGAAGAACCAATCTTAAAAAGGCAAATAGATGAAATTCTAGAGCACTTCTTTTTTTTTAAAGATTTTATTTTATTTATACAAGAACCGGGTATAGGCCAGATGTGCAGGAGGGTGAGAGGATTCACCAGAGACAGAGTGGGGAACAGAACAGGCAGACTGAGGAAATATACTAATGAGGGGAGCAGAGGGGGAGACAGGAGAGGTCCGCTGCGCCATGTGGGACCCTCAACAGCTGGCCAGGATCAAACTGGCGCTGCAGAGGCTGGGACAGCTTCACAGCGCTGCACTCAACCATCTGCGCCACCAGGGGAGGCCCTTGAGCACTTGTTCTTTTTTTTTTTTTTTTTTTTTAAGATTTATTTATTTATTTATTTATTTATACAAGCACTGGGTACAGTCAGAAGCGTGGGAGGGTGAGAGAATTCACCAGAGCCAGAGTGGGGGGGGGGGCGAACAGGCAGAAGGACTGAGGTACACTGCTGAGGGGAGCAGCGGGCAGCAGGAGAGGTCTGCGCACCATGTGGGACCCTCACTGGTGGCCGGGGATCGAACTGGCTCTGCAGCCTCTGCGGGCATCTTTGCAGCCCAGCGCTCAACCACTGTGCCACCGGGGAGGCCCTAGAGCACTTATTCTTGATAGTAAGGACAGTGAGCTCGGGCCAAAGATTTGCTTGGCAAACCCCTCTCCCTGGGCACCTAAACTCCTACACCCAATCTCATCTCTGTCTTGCTTCACTGGTGGAGCAAGATACTTTGTCTCCTGGTAAAGGATGGGGTCTTTGGAAGCAGAAACAGAAATGGAATTTGGGGTGCAAGGCAGTTAATTATTAAAAACAAGATTATTAAAAACAAGACAATACACTTAAAATGGAGTTGCTTATGCCAAGCCCCAGGTCAC